CCCAGTTCGCCAGGTTCAGGTTCATGGTGAACTGGAGGAAGTCCCATCTGGTTCCGTCACAGGTTTGGACCTATCTGGGTCTTATTTGGGAATCACGTACTGTTTCCTTATTTCTCCCTCCAGAGGCATTGCTGCGGCTGTGATCCCACCTTCGGCCTTTTCTGGTGGGGTCCCGGGTCACCCGGCGGTTGCTCGAGCAGATGTGTGGGAGTTTGAACTTCGCTTTGCTGGTCTACCCGCTGGGTCGGGTTTGGCTTCGGCGCCTGTTCTGGTTCCTTCGGGGACGCCCCCTTCTGCCTTTCTCGTGAATGCTAGGTTCGTCCTCCAGGGGCCTTGCATCAGCTGCTGCATTGCAGGCTTCCTCTAGGGTTTTCAGGGTTCAGTGCCTTGGCGCCTACCCGAATCCCCCGCACGATGTGTTCATGAACGCGTCGTCTCTAGTCTGGGGCTTTGTGACCAGTGCTCACCAGGCCAACTAGGGATGGTGGGGTCGGTCCTTCCATTGGGCTCACAGCACAGTGTGGGAGTTCGTGGTAGTCTGGTTTTCGCTTTAGAGGGATCAGGTTGCTTGGGGTTTGACCATTTGGCTTGATTTAGAATGTTCCTCGGTGATTCATTGCCTGAACCGCAGGGGTTCTCTTTGGTCCATGCCCCATTGGGGCTGGTCACTTTGAGTGGCTCACATGCTGGTTTCTTGGCTCTCCATGCGGTTCATATCCAGGGAATGTCCAACGTCCTAGCAGACAGCCTGTCTTGGTTCATTCCCCTGTCCACAGAATGGATGGTCGACGCCGACTCCTTTTGTTGGCTCTGCCAGATGTACCGAGTCCTGGAAGTGGACCTCTTCGAGTCGGCGTAGTCTCTGCATCTCTAGGTCTATGTGGCGCCTTTCCCCGACTGCGAGGCGGTCGCGATTAACGCCTTTCGGCATTACTGGTCGAGGTGGGGTTACCTGTACCTCTTTCCCCCCGGTGCAGCTGTTGCTTCGGGTTCTAGCTCGGTTGGAGTCCTACCCAGGGAGAGTAGTGCTCGTGGACCCTTGGTGGCCGGCCCAGCCTTGGTTTCAGGCGCTGATTACTCGGTGTGCGAACTCGGGGTGTTTCCCCGCAGTTCCGCCTCTTTCAGCAGGTCGGACCAGTTCAATACGTGGCTGGTTCGGTCTTCTCCTCTGCTCTTCGTGTCTGTTTTTTTTTTTGATGCAGGTTTATCACCATCTGTATGGTGATCAGGTGGCTTCGTTGATGGTGTTCCACCTGAGAGCTTCATCTCGGTGACAGTATGAAGTTTTCTGGCGTTCTTTTTGCCATTTTCTCTCTCTTTGTAGGTTGTCTTTAATTTCGGATTGGGTTTTCTTGTCCTTTCTTTCTTGTTTTTTTTCAAAACCGTCATTTGATGCCTAATACTGTCGCCTCGTATAGTGCAGTGCTGGTGGAGCCATTCTATCTTGCGTTCGGGGTGGACATCTTATCGGCCCTGTTCCATAAGCTTTCTCGTGCTTTGTTTCACCTCTGGCCTGCTCATGCGCCGCCTAAGCCATCCTGGTCCTTACCTTGAGGTTACCTTGAGGTGCTTCCGGGGCTTAGCATCCCCGCGGTCCGGTCGTTGACCAGGCCTCGTGGTTGCTGGACTGATCAACCAGGCTTAGGCAGGATCCTTAGACAAGGTGCTCTCCTATCCTTCCTCTCCTCGATTTGTGGTGTCCCTTCGGTTCAGGATTGTTTTTCCAAGGCTCTGTATTTGTTGGCATTGGCCTCTGAGGGTTGGGTCGGGGAGCTTCATGCTCTCCTCTGATGCAGGGGTTTCTGCTCTTTCAGTCCTGGTGGTAGGTTTGCTCGTTTGCAGCTGCCTCCTTCTTTTCTGGCAAAGAACGAGACGGCTGCTTTCCGAATGGGTCCTTGGCTCATTGATGCTTGGTTGGCCAGGCCTGGGGTGCATCATGTGTTGTGTCCGGTTGCGGCTCTCCACTGTTATCTGCACGCTTCGGCTTTGGTGGCTGGGGATGCGTTTCGGGTTGATCCGCTTTCCCTGTTCTAGGGCTTGGGTCTCCCAGGTCGTCCGCAGGGTTATTGAGTTTAGCCAGCCTGCAGTCTATCCTCATGCCCATGACGTTAGGAAGTTTGTTGCTTTGGCTGCTGTGTTTGGCAACATGTCTTGGGCTAATATTCGGGTGCGGGGATTTTGGAGGTCGAACAGGGTCCCAGTCGCCCGTTATTTGCTGAACGTTCCTGCTCCTGGGCATTCCTTTGTTGCTTTGGGGTCGCAGGTTGCAGCCAGTTGTCTCGACTTCTCGTTGAGGAATTTGTGGTGGCCGCCTCCTGGGTATGTCCCTCTTTTCCTTATACTGTATTTGGGTATGTAGCTCCAGGGAGCCATAGGGGCTCCCCACAGAAACCAGCATTGAATGTAATGAAACACTATTTTCTGGATGAGCCCTGGAGGCTTCCTGGCAACCTCCCTCCCTCCAGTCAGCGGTCGACATTTTCGAGTTGTTTTGATACTTAGCTTTCGAACTGAAAGCCTGAGTAGCTGGCACTGGGAGGTCTGGGGCTCCCCCTCCCGGGAAGGAGAGGGCTGTGCGGATAAGCGGCGCTACAGTGAAGTGTGACCTTTGCTTGTTTGCTAGTTTAATAGGGATTGGAGGGAGTTTTGCCTACCTTTTTGGTTTTTAGTTGTTAGTTTCTTAGCATGTGGGGTTTGTTTTGTTATGCCTATCTTTCTGGGTGCCTAACTCCAGTTGATGGCAGATAAGAAAAACCCCAACTACAGGGGAGGGGGTTGCCAGCGCCATTGCTTCCTGAAACCTCTGTGAAGGGGCCAGGTTCTGGCTCGTGGTCCCTGGTTGGTCGAACTCTATAGCTAATGTCCCAGTCGACCATATCACACATTAGCCCGATAGCTCCATGGGGCCTCCAGGGTTCAACCTGAAAATGGCATTTCATTATATTCAACGCTGGTTTTTTACTTATCTGTGGGTACTGTATTTAGCTGCAGCGAGCTGACGGGGCTTCCCCCAGAAATCCAGCGTTGAATGTAATGAAATGCCAATTTCTGGGTATATCCCCAGAGGCTCCCTTCCACCCTCCCTCCCTCTTGTCTGTGGCTTGTTTTCAGTCTACGAACTGCCTGTGTCAGTGCTTGGGCGCCTGGGCGGGGCTTCCTTTCCCTCTACTAGGGAGGTCACTAATGAGCAGGCGCATTGGTTGAGTGGACATTTGCTTGTTTGTTGTTTCCTCTTGGGAGGAGTTCTTGGGGTTTGTTCAGTCTTAGGTTGCAATGTTTTACCAGTTGGGGCTTGTAGTTGTCCTCCTACCTTTCTGGGTGATACCCCTGGTCGATGGCAGACATGACTATACTCTCACAAAATGGAGTGTTTCATAAGCCATTGCTTTAGCCGCCCTGAGGAATACCCAACCTTGATGGGTCCATGTCTTCAAAGGTGAACCCTGTCTGTTTGGGACCCCCACTTCAACCCCAATTCAGGAAGTGCAGTGAGGTTTGATTTGTTGCAACCAGAGATGCCTCCAGGGTACATTTCCCATGCCTTATGGGCTAATTTCACTTAGCAAAATTTTTGTTTCAACCAATAATAGACAACTACCAAAATTTGTTTACCTCATCTAGGTCATTTCTCATGTCCCCAGCCTCAAAACTCATTTCAAAAGGTAGCAGGGCCATACCTGAGTGAATGAAAACTTTCCCAACTCGAAATGAAAACAAACCATAGAATTTGGTTTTAAATATTCTCAATAGCTTTTCCCAAGTCTCCAACTGTTTCTTATAATGTTAAGTCCATCCACAAAAGTCATCAAAAATATGATTGGAAGCATATTAAGAGTTACCATTCATACCCTAGTATTTCCTGTGCTCTTTGAGCTGATGTTACTGAGCAAAATGTTAATTTCAACCTGTCATATGAAGGACAACTACCAAGAGAACCTGTCTGTAAAGATATTTCATTACATCTAGCATATTTCTCATGCCATAGCCTTGAAACCTCATTTTCGAAGGAAAAAGGATCAATATTTGTGAACAAAAACTAGGGAACCTCAATTAAAATGAACCATAGAATTTGATATTAAATATCTCAATGGCTTTTCTGAAGCACCCTTACTATTGCTTGTATTGTTGTACCCATCTACAAAAATCATTAAAAATGTGTTTGGAACTTTTAGCAAATCTTGATGGAACCACATCTAGCAAATTTCCCATGGCCAATTCTCGAAAGCTACTTTTCAAAGGAAAAAGGGCCCATATTTTATTGAACAACAACCTCTGCAACTGGAAATAAAAAAGCAGCATAGAATTTGGTTTTAAATATGCTCAATGGCTTTCATTCTTAATGATCTCCCAACTACTATATTTCTTGTAATGTTGCCTCCATTGGTGAATTTGGTCCCAACATCCTAAGCAAGTCCATATTCCCCACTTCCTGTTCATCAAATTGGGTGAGCATATCTGAGTGTGTGTTCCAACCAGAGGTTCGTTGAATCGAGGTTCCACTTTTGTTTCAGTTGAATACTGTATTGGCAAATGCTGTACAGTTTGACTGACACAGAAATTACATGTTAGACTGCTATTATTATGTATATTACATATCTTAACAAGAAAATTGTGTTGATGCTGTGATCATGGTACTGTACAATAAAGTTTGATATCGGAGTGTATTACAGTACAGTTCAGTATTTAATATCCAAGTGTGCTATAATAATACACAACATAATTCAATATGACAGTGTTTACTGGTGCAAAACATGAGACACATTTATATTGAGACACATAGCTGAATGTAATAAACATGTGTGTAACATTATTTAATGATCTCTTGAAATATAAGCAACTGATTAATTTAATGCACGTAGAAATTAACATTAACGTTCTAACCTGTCAGTTCTTTCCCAACCGTAAATGTTCTGGGTGTCTCGAGGTCCCACGCAGCGACACCGAGAATGTTTATTCTTGCTTACTTTAAATTTATAGAATTTAAAACATAAGACATAAGAATGAAGGTAACTGCAGAAGGCCTATTGGCCCATACAAGGCAGCTCCTATTTATGTACACCCAATCTCATTCATATATATATGTCTAACCTACGCTTAAAACAATCAAGGACTCCTGCTTCTATTATTATACACTGTAATTGGTTCTACAAATCAACAACCCTGTTACCAAACCAGTATTTACCCAGGTCTTTCCTAAAACTAAACTTACCCAATTGGGTAAGAAACGACTACCATTGTTTCGTGTTCTATTTTGTATTGATGCCTTTAATACCCTATTAATATCCCTATTAATGGGCTATTAATAGCCCATTCATCCACTAAATGAGTGGATGGATAAATAATTATAAATGATAATTTGTGGTCATAATGTTTGCAAATGCAAATCGCATTTGCAAGTGCAAATGCGATTTGATAATAGCATTTGGGATGGTGCTGAATATACAAATTGTTGTGTACATTTCAACACTCCTCACATATTTCTCAACATTGCTCATTTGTTTAACAACATGAATAAAAATAAAACATGTGGAAATGTGCACACATTATTGGTTATGTCACTGTAAAAAAGAAAATAAATATAAATTTCATACTTTTCTGACAGGTAATATGCAAAATACACCATTATATAGTGAACATTCTCACAAGCAGATCAGTTACTGTTTTGTGTGATAGAGAGTTGGCCAAGCTAATTCCTGATAAGTCCCCTGATACTGTGCTCTAAATAAATAAATAAAATAAAATAAAATAGGGATTTTGGGGAATTTCAAGATGGATGGCACATTTTAGCATCATCGAAATGTTTACTTTCAGAGTACAGGTGACACATTTTACCATCATTGGAATGTTTACTTTCAGAGTACAGGTGACACATTTTACCATCATTGGAATGTTTACTTTCAGAGTACAGGTGACACATTTTAGCATCATCGAAATGTTTACTTTCAGAGTACAGGTGTCACATTTTAGTGTCATCGATATGTTCACTTTCAGAGTACAGGTGTCACATTTTAGTGTCATCGATATGTTCACTTTCAGAGTACAGGTGACACATTTTAGCGTCATCGATATGTTCACTTTCAGAGTACAGGTGTCACATTTTAGTGTCATCGATATGTTCACTTTCAGAGTACAGGTGACACATTTTAGTGTCATCGATATGTTCACTTTCAGAGTACAGGTGTCACATTTTAGTGTCATCGATATGTTCACTTTCAGAGTACAGGTGACACATTTTTGCCGCATCGGAATGATTACTTTCTGAGTATAGGTGACACATTTTAGCGTTATCAAAATGCCAAAGTGTAAAGGCAAGAAATGTAGGTAAATAATAATGACAATTATGCATTAAATATTTAAATAGTTAATATTCATATTTTGGAAATTAACACCTATTACTACATATTGTTTTAGTTCCTGATGTTGGGGACAGGATGTCTGTACATAGGCCAAGCAAGGTCCCCCTGGGCTAACTACCGGGTTTGATTTCTGAGCTGAATGAGATGTTTGGGCATGTTTCCTTACATTTGATGCTTATGTTCACCTAGCTGCAAATAGGTACCTAGGAGCTAGATCAATGTTGTGGGGTTGCATCCTGATCAGGGTCAGTAGTTGGCTTAGTGGGACAATGGTAAAGAGTAACAGGCTTCCTGTCCCAGACATTGAGTAATCAGTACAGTACTACCTTAGTAAAATATCAGTATTCATAAGACAGAACACAAAACAATGGGTATAAATTAGATAAGTTTAGATTTAGGAAAGACCTGGGTAAATACTGGTTCGGCAACAGGGTTGTTGATTTGTGGAACCAATTACCACGTAACATAATACAAGTAGGATCCCCTTGATGGTTTCAAGCATAGGTTAGGCATATATGAATGAGATTGGATGGATATAAGTAGGAGCTGCCTCGTATGGGCCAATAGGCCTTCTGCAGTTGCCTTCATTCTTATGGTCTTAAGTTCTTATAATACAGTATGCTGTATTCTGTTTATATTGAGCATGAAAGCATGTTTGTTATTATTTTAAAATTATTGTGCTCTTTGACCAGATTGTGGATAAGTTTAATGACCCGACTGGAGGAGACTTTATCTTCATGTTGAGCAGTAAAGCAGGTGGATGTGGCCTTAACCTCATTGGTGCCAACCGTCTAGTAATGTTTGACCCCGACTGGAATCCAGCCAACGATGACCAGGCCATGGCCCGAGTGTGGCGCGACGGACAAAAAAAGAAGTGCTTCATATATCGTCTTCTAGCCGTACGTCCATATTATTCGTGATCTGTGGTTAACCACTGTACTGCGCGAAGCGCCTTTAGGTGCTCTGAGAGTTGTGCAATTTTTTTAATTAGGCTATATTTTAATTTTTTTTAATGTTTTCATTACTCTTTGTGTTTTGAAATGGAAATAGTAGAGTTTAGAAACATTTTGACATTAACTTTACCTGAATATTTATAAAAACGGCAAAAATATGTCCTTGAAAATTGCGCTAAGAAGTTTTTACCAAAACCATGTGCGCAGTGCAGGGGTTAATGAGGTTTAAAGTTGTAATATTTCATCTTTCCTTTGTTCCTTTCTTCCAAATATTAGTACCATGTCTTAAGAAGCAAGGAGAGAGATAAGGTTATTATCAGGAGAAAGCACTAAGTCACTTTGGCTATACTGTACCTGTATGGCAATTGGAAGGTATATAAGGAATAGATAGGACCTGGGATAGGTCCTATCAGAAGGAATGGACGGCTCCCAACCACTTATACCATCAGGGATTAGATGCCAACCATGCAAGAATTAAGGCCCTAGTTCTACTAACCACTTCAAGTGTTCATATGTTTCCAGTTTGTAGTTCTCTGTATTCTTTGTCCTCCTCAGCAGTAACTTGTCTAATCTATAACAGTGGGCTAATCTGTTCATTTTAAATGAAGAAATGACACTGTTTCTGTCCGTCCTGTATCATTATCTTCACTATTTGGCTTCATGCAGATTTCTTTTCTTTATTTTTCTTTCTATTTTTCAGACTTTTTCTTATTTATCCTCTTTTTCCTTTCCTTTCCTTTTAAATCTTCCTTCTCTTAATCTTTCTTTTTCTTGTTCCTTTCTTTTTCTCTTATTCTTTCCTTTCATCTTATTCTTACCTTTCATCTTATTTTTCTTTCATGTTATTCTTGTCTTTCATTGTATTTTTATCTTCCTCTTTCTTCCTCTCATACCTTATATTGTTTGCTCTACCACAGTCTTTGTATCACACGACTTGATAATGGTCAAGGCTGGACTGAAACAGTGCCGTTTCTTCATTTTCAGTTGTGGGTTGGATATCTACTCTTCAGCCATGTTATTGTGACTCCTCTGTTTATTTGATTTAGAAAGAAATTCATTTCATATTAAATATTTACTGTTTTCAGACTGGAAGTATAGAAGAAAAGATCTTCCAGCGGCAAGCTCATAAAAAGGCCTTGAGCAGTTGTGTGGTAGACTGTGAAGAAGACGTCCAGCGGCATTTCTCGGTTTCCGAATTACGGGAACTTTTTATTTTTAATCAAAATACAATGTCGGATACTCACGACAAGTAAGTTAACATTGTCTTGATATATATCATTACCTGTATTGAGAGAGTTGTTAAACTAAGTAGTCTTGGCACTTATTTATAATGTCAATATTGTACTTTTTCCTTTTCTGGGCTATTACATTCATTTGCTCCCTAAGCTTAAAATTCTCTGTATTAACCCTTGAGCGGAGATAATTGTATATAATACGATTTTGGTATGACTTCATGTATGGCACATATTGTATACTGTATATACGATTCTTTTTAAAGTACTGTACTGTACCATGTAAGATTTAAAAGTCCAGCGCGTTAAAGACAAGATTCTTGGACACTTAGGAAGCGTGACATTCAGATATCTATACCACAGGGATCTTTTCAAATAACATTGCTTGGTAGGCCCTTCAAGGCCTCCCTAGCCCTCTTGACACAAAGACTCTCCTTATGTTACATAGCCCTCTGTACCTTTTGATGTAAGGACTGTCAAGAGGTACGGTACATTCCATAAAGTCACAAAGCCCTTCCGAATCATCACTTTTCTGTGGGGAGCCCTGGAGGCTCCCTGAAGCTATCCAAACTGATATGTGCTATATTATTTTGGGGTCATCAGTCACAGGAGTTCTTATGCCTACTGGGAACCACGAGCCTGAACCCGGTCCCCACTGAGAGGTGCAGGAAGCAATGGCCTATGAGCACTTTACATTTAAAGCCATCGACCCGGGGAGGACCCAGAAAAGTAGGTGAATCAAAACGGACCACTGTCTGGTTAACCTGTGAAATCTATATCCGAAAAGATCAAAATAACTCCCTTAGAAAGAAATCAAATAAGTGGGAACCCTTCATCCAACTAGCACTCCTGATCGTTAGCCATGGCTGGGTCATCCCCAGAAGTCGTTATGCCTACAAGGAGGGGGGGGGGTGCAATCTACATCTGAAAAGATAAAGCTGGCAAACCCCCTTCCCCCCATACGGTGGGCTCCACCACTCCAGTTCTTGAACTGATGTGCTGGTGGTCAGATCAGTCACCTCTGGCCTCAAGTTCCTGTTCTGGATTTTTGCCCTGTGTGGCTGTTCCAGCTGTGTGTGGTGTGGTGGCCAGGTGTCTTAGTGTACAGGAGCAGCATGCGCCTAGGGTGACCTTCCCTAGGTGCTCCGTGAGTACTGCCCTTGCTTGTCAGGGTTATCTTCCCTGGGGCGTTCGGGAATCACTCCCCATTTGAGGACTTCATCACTTGATGTTGTCTTTGCCCTTGGGGTACGTCGGGGGTCTAGGGCTTTCCGTCTTGCCCCAGGTAGGGGAGTGTTATTGGCTGGGTGGGGTGCACTGTGGCTGGTGCAGCTAGCTTTACTTCAATGCAGCGGCCGATGTTTCTCTCTGACTGCCAGTTTGTTTGTTGTGTGTCTTCGGGGGTTTTGTTTTAATTTTCTTTTCATTCTCTGGCATTCTTGCCTTGTTTAGACAGAGGAGGTCTGCTTAGCTTCTTATTAGGCAAGCCTAGGTTGTGTTGGTAGTCCTCCTCTGTTGCCCCCGAGGTTTCATAGCTGCTACTGGTGATCAGTTTGCCTGCTACCTGACAGGGTTCTACTGGCTTGGCTGGCCCCAGTACCTGGGCTTCCTATAGGGCTAAGTCACCCTACGGGCCCTGGGAAATCCCAGTGGACTCGGTCGTACAATGGCTACTTCTTCTGAGCCCACTCTTGTCTTGTGCAAAGTCGAAGGTTGTTCGCTGCCCCTGCCTCTAGGAAATGATCATCTGTACTGCCTTCATTATGCTGCCTGTTGGGTTGGAACACCACCGACCTGGAGTCTTGCGTGCCTTATTTCCCGCTTGTACTCCACTTTCCTCATTCCTTGTCTGTTGATCTCAGGGATAAGGCTGTAGCTGTGTTGCATGCTCGATTGTCCTAACTGCAATGAGCCAGGTTGGTTGCCCGGTTGGAGGCCCCAGGGTTACCTCGCTAGGGATTTAGGGACCAGGATTTGGGGGCGTTGGTCGCTTCGACCTTGGTTCCTTCTGCACCCCTGCTTCCTTCCCAAGGGGGGCATGGTTTGCCCTGCTCCTTCCCCACCTGCTTCCGGCTCCCGAACGTCTGGGGGTTTCGGGGTCGGGGCGGGGTTTTGCTCGGGATGAGGCTTGGTTGGCTGCCCCCTCTGATTTGGGCGCAGAGGTGGTTGAGCTCGATTTATTCGTCGAGGCTTTTGGGTCAACCCAGCAGACTCCCTTTATGGAAGCTTTTCCCCTGGATGCTGCCATTTCTTCAGGGGTGGTGGGCGTGGAAGAGGGCTCTGCCCCAGGAGCCTTTGTTGGGGGTTCCCAGGGCTCCCGGGGGAATCCACCTGGAGCTCTTGGGCTCCTTTTGCCATTGCTTGGACCCTTGTGTCTTCTGGGCAGTGTTACCTTTAACCACTGGACTGCACCAACCGGCAATTGCCATTCGCTGATTACTGCGCCAACCGGCAAAAGTATTTTTTATTTTTTGGTACACGGTTGAAACGCGCTCGCGGTAGATTGGGTTCGAAATGAACTCTTAAGACCTCCAGAGAGAAGCGGCTATCTTGGAAAAAAAATCCCAGAATGCCCTAGGACTGCGGGCTGGGTTAGTACTGAGTGAGCAACCATGGGTGGTGCACGTGCCTCTGGCTCCTAAACACGTGTCCGACGTGGTGTTGAAAGATCGCGCTCTGTCGGTGAAATTTAGACCTTATTGTTTGAAGAACATAAGAGTCATGACATTGGTGAAGCTAAGCACAATAAGGACCTAACACAAAGGTTGGATGCAAGTGATACAGCACTTATGAGGACGATATAGCGAGCATATCCAGTTGTAGCTCTGAGCGCCACCCTTGCCCACCTATGCCATCTCCAATTTATATAGATGATGCATAGATTTAATCGTTTTCTGGGTTCAGTGATGATGCATCTGATACAAGTAGCATAGATGAACAGTGTTAGCGGCTTCCATGATGGTGTTTTCCATAGATATTTTCAAGAACAGCTGAATCTTTTCCAGAATGCCTGAATGTCTTTCAGATTGATTGACACTCTTCGAGGTTGTCTGAATCTCTTCCAGAGTGGGGACTTTACAAAGCGATCTTTTCAAGACAACCTTCCAAATTGATCTTTTCCTATAATCTTTTCAAGACTACCTTATGCTTCACAAGCTTAGCTACATACCAACTACAAGTACTAAAGCCTAGGGTGTACGTGAGTGCGTTATTTGTAAGCACACAGAACGAAGAAACTGGAATCGAAACTCAATCTGTACCTGGTGCAATGAGAGTGAAGTCGCGCTGTGTATCATGGACTACTTAGTTGATTATTACTCACTTCCGAAGTACTTAGTGCGTAATACAGTGTGTTACTGTGTAAATAGTATGTGAAACTGTACATATTGTAATTTTAGTAAATTTTTAACAAGTAGCATTGCGACAATAAACATTTATTGTGGACACATTGCTGACACATGTATCACAGTTCCATGGAACATTATGAACGTTCTACTGTATTACATATTTTAAAGGACACAAATATGCATCATATACAATAAAAAAAAAAATAAAACCGCATTGGAAATACGTGGAACAAATAATTGAAAATATATTTGTGGCAACTCGCGGTGCTTGAATGGCCCACGCGACCATGTCTGGGAGCTTCACGCACGGGCGACCAGCTCCTGATGACGTCATAGTGCACCTTGTCCATGTTCCCACAGCCAAAGTAGGTGGAATTTGGTCTTTATTTTTACATAGATATGTTCAGGGAAGGGAATTTATCATCCTACAAACAAAAAAGAATTTTTTGGGAATACTTGATGTCATGTGTACAGGGGGAATGTCACAATAAACTCGGCGAATCACAGTGATTAAGAAACATTTATTCATTATGTAAATGAAAAATGCTCCTAGAAATTTGAAAGAAATGTTCAACTTTCATCTGCCTGTCAGCCATTTGCAATGAATAAATGACAACAAAACTAGAGCACTGTGATGGTGCACCACCACCGGGTGGCCTGATGCGGCAACATAAAACATCACAGCCAAAAATACATGTTTAACAACCTGTATAACAATTTTCATGACCAAAGTACAGTATTATCAACTATACGCTGATCTTAGAGGAGGTAAGAGGTTGTGGTACAAAATCCACTTTAAAATATCTTTCAATAAATGTATGATGAAACATACTAAAATAGTTTTTCCACAAAATATCCATGTAAAATAGGGGTGCGTCCTATGCGAGAGTGTGTCTTTACGCTGGCAAATATGGTAATATTACTGTATATGCTGGCATGATTTATTATGCACCTCACATCGAGCGTATCTATCTTTTGCTTGGATGTTTTGTCCTGGTGAAAAAAAAATATATATTGTATACTGTATTAATATAACAACATTTTCGTCTGGTTCATCATATGTTTATTGCACGTTATTTTCCAGTGCTTTTGGTTCCCCTGTTCGTCCCTCCTCTCAGATCAGCAGTTTCGTAGTTTATATTTTTGGCAAGAATTTTGCTATACAGTTTGAGTTGCCACGATTGGCCTCTAGAGTGGTGCTTCGATTGCGTTGCACCATCCCACAACTGTGATTTGTTGTTACCCACTCTTTGCGTATGGTGGCCGGGCGGTTGAAAGTTTATCATTCCTTTCCCGCTTTTTGGGGTGTTCTTCATTTGGTTAATGTGCTCTTGTTCTTACCAGTGACTCAGTCATTCACTTTTGTGTGACATGTCTCAGGTGTGGGTTATGTCTGCTATGAAAGGGGTGGGGAGGTACATGAATTGGTGTATGTTTCCCTTATCACTGCCGAGGTGTCATCAGTACTGTAGTATGGTAAATAAGTACTCGCCTCGCTGTACTCTTCTAGTTGTGCTGGTGGGGCTTGTGCTTCGGCTCTTTGTGCCCTCCTCTCATCCATCATTCTACTGGTGTAGAATGTAGAATTCTTGAGCTCCTGCATTTCTATGTTTGCAGCCTTCACCTCATCACTGCCTCCTGCATTCCCTTTCCTTACTACTCTGCCTCTAGACAAGTTCTTTTTAATGTTTCTGCGGCTCCTTTGAGTACTCTGTTTCCACATGTGTCCCATTATGGGTATACCAATCGTATTGATTCATCCATCTTTTTTTTACCCTGTCTGTTTCCCTGAGGAATTGTGGATGGTGGTCATGTCTCCTAGTCTTGTGTTTCCGAAGCAGTCTTCTCTTGTATACGAGACTGTGGTACTTCTTTGTTATTACCTCAGTCTTGTGTTCACAAACTGGTCATTGGCTTGTTTTCATTATTTTATTATGGGCACCGATTTTGTGCCTAGCGACCTTGCCCTGTATGCTCGACTAGTTCCCAAGCCTATAACCCTTGGTATCCTGTCTGTATTATGGCCGTTTCAGCCGTGGGGCTCATTTTTATCCCCCCCCCCAAAAAGAAATAACATTGTGCGTCTTATCCGCTGGTATTTAATTATCTGCCAGCAAATGCGGTAGGTAGGGCTTTCTCCCAGATTCGTTTCTGGGTACTCTAGGGTTCCTCGGATTCGTCTTTTTGAAGATTTTCTTCCTCTTGTCTTCTGGTTACGGAGGTTCGTGAGGTTTTTGCACAACTCCTGTGAGACCCGGTTTACACCGGGTCTCACCCGGAGTTGGCTGTGTGGCAGGCTCAAGCAACTGATCCGGCTTCCTCGGGCTCATTTTTTTTTGGTTATATATTTAGCTTAGCAACATTATTAGGATCGTAAGAGCTATAAAAATACTTATTTTAGAAATGATTTATTAATTTTATTATTTCGAGGCCGTAGGTCACTGAACTGTAGTAACGAATTCGAGAAAAAGTACATGGTGCTGTATGTACAGGGAATAGACCAGTCCACCTGCACTAGAGTTGTTTTGAAAGCTAGAGCCAATAACATAAATAATTTCTCAAATAGCAAATGTCTATCATCTTACAGTATATTTTTTGTTTTAGTTAGTTTAGAAATATAATTAGGATAATAAAGAGCCATTAAAATACCGGTTTTAGAAATGATTTATTAATCTGAAACATTCAAAGTCATGGGTCATTGAATTATGACGACACAACCGAAGGAAAACCAAGTGAGGTTAAGAGTACAGTATTCCCTTATCTGTCCACCCTTACTCAGCTTGTTTCATCACAGAAAATGTCTATAAGATGATTTCAACACATGTAGTTAGCTGTTCATGCTGCAGCCTTTACATTAATTTACAAAGATACGTGTGCCACAAATCAGTGAACGAAAATCATGTAGACTCAGTCTTTCACTTGTGTGGATCACTCTGGCTGGTGTTTAGTAAATATGGTTCACTTGTTGTGCGGATCAGTCTGGCTGGTGTTTGGTTAATATGGTTCATGTGTTGTGTGGTCCACTTGTCCACTTGTGTGATCCAACTTGTCATATGAAACAATTATTAATTATAACCTGTGATAGAATGGGTCACCCCCTGTTACCCCCCTTTTCCCTATGGGGTGGTAATGCTAACTACCGAGAGTGCTAGTTGTATGAAGTGTTGCTAGTTGGGTTTCTTGCTAAGGGAGTTATTTTTTATCCTTTTGGATGTAGATTGCACAGGTTAACCAGACAGTGGTCTGTTTTGATTCACCTGTCTGGGTCCTTTCCTGGTTGGTTATCTTGAGGTTATCTCGAGATGATTTCGGGGCTTTAGTGTCCCCGCGGACCGGTCCTCGACCAGGCCTCCACCCCCAGGAAGCAGTTCGTGACAGCTGACTAACACCCAGGTACCTATTTTACTGCTAGGTAACAGGGGCATAGGGTGAAAGAAATCTCTGCCCATTGGTTGGTGGCAATTATGACATACTTTTAATGTAAAGTTCTCATAGGACATTGCTCCCTGCGCCTCTCTGAGGGGACCAGGTTCTGGCTTGTGGGGTCCGGTAGGTATAAGGACTCCTGTGACTGATGACCACAAACTAATATAGCACATATCAGTTTGGATAGCTTCAGGGAGCCTTTGGGGCTCACCCAGAAAATGGCGTCTCATTACATTCAATGCTGGTTTTTTCTTAATTAAACAGCTTTACTTCTTTTTCAGGTTTAAATGTCGTAGGTGTGTGAATGGCATCCAGGTAAAGCTGCCGCCCGAGGATGCAGACTGTAATTGTGATTTGTCACTGTGGCATCACTGCCAAGATAAAAAAGGATTAGAGGATCCTATATTACGACAGTGTTGGCCATCTGGTATCTCTTTTGTCTTCTACCAAAGATCACATGAACAAAAGAAAGTACCTTAGTTATGTAGTCAAACCTGCATTGGTAATTTTTTCTAGTGCTCCTTCAGAAACATTTACATCTCAAAAGCAATTAACATTCCTAGGTAGCTTCCACATGAGATCATCCTGTCAAGGATAATTTTATTGATATACTGTAGTGTGGCTTCAAACTGATTGTACACATTCCAAGGAAGAACATTTTGCAGAGTGTAGTTCTCTAGAATATGACTGAAAATTAAACACCCAACCCACACATATGAAAAGAAAGGAAAGTGACAACATTTTGATCCATCCTGGTCCTTATTTTACCTGACTTGATTAGGGTCCATGATGAATGGAAACATCATTTCTTTCCTTTCTCTTCACGTGTCTGGATTGGGTGTCCAAAGAACACTGTATTTATTAATGAATTAAATCTCTTATTTATATGTTAAATAATTTAGGGGGGAAACAAGGGTTTGTGTCATACATGTTCAAAGCATTCACCGCTAGCGTCTAGGCATGGGTGACACATCCTTGAGTGAAGGTGTATGAAGTGATAGGTGCACCAGATTCCTCGGCTTCACACACCTATATTCTAGGATTGTAGCTGATTTTGTACTTTTATTGTCTTTTGGTAACTCTACAAGTAAAATTTCAAAATTAGCCTCTTTTTTTTATTATTATTATCTTGCTTTCATGTGTTAGAAAGAATATACTATATTGCCTTGTAAATATATATTAGTTGTTGGTTCCCATTACTCATTCATCATTATTATTATTGCCACTTTTTGCCAGATAATGAATGATGAATCATTCAAATGGTTCCTCATTCAACAAGTTAGCAGCATTGCCATTTTAAAAGTGTGGCAGTAGTTGATTTATAATGCAATTATTCTGCAGTCAAAACAGACCTTTTAGTTTCGTAATTTTCCTTCAGCAGCTTGACGTTAAAGTTCATTTTTCATTCTCTTATTCTTTCCATTAGTCTCAAAATATTATATATATTTTTTTTACTGTATAGTTTTGTATCAGAATCAGATCTCTGAGAATGTCTTATTTTGTCATTTTGTCATGTAGCTTATGAATGTAAATACTGTATAGTACTCTTTATTTATTTACGTGATAAACAAATATATATTAGTGGGAACACAATGAATTAAAAAAAAAGTATGATATATCCAAATATTGAGGTCTGAAAATATTCAGGGACACAGGTTTGGTCCCATCAAACCGGAAATTCCCCAGGGTCACGTAGTCGATAATGGGTGTGCATGTGGAGTTCAGGGGCCAGATTCACGAAAGCACTTACGCAAGCACTTACGAACGTGTACATCTTTCCTCAATCATTGACGGCTTTGGTTACATTTATTAAACAGTTTACGAGCATGAAAACTTGCCAATCAACTGTTGTTATTGTTATAAACAGCCTCCTGGTGCTTCGGAGCTCATTAGCTGTTTAATAATTGGAAACAAAGCCGCCAAAGACTGAGAAAAGATGTACAGGTTTGTAAGTCCTTGCTTAAGTGCTTTCGTGAATCTGGCCCCACGGACGCAGGTTTGATTCCATCATATGGCCTCAATATTTTCTTATTAGGGTGGAACTTTTGTAAGTATGTGCTATACTTAATTGGGTTAGTATTTTATTTTTTGTTTCCCAATGTACAAGTTTATAAATTTTTTGGTTTTCTCTTCTTCCTACCTTAAAATTAAAGTGGTGCAAGGAATAATTTGTGCGGGACATCACAAACATTTCTTAGTTACTGATGCTTTTGGGTTGTATACAAATTGAGTGCTCAAAAGCATGCAGTGTTCATAGTGCAGATATGTATCTTATTTTTAATAAATATACTCAACAATTTAGTGTATAATTTTTTTTAGATGATACCATAGGGCCAGTTTCTAATTTTGTTGTCAAGACATTTAATGGCTTAGCAAGTAATTTAATGACTTGCCCGAAACGCTACGCGTACTAGTGGCTGTACAAGAATGTAACAACTCTTGTATATATCTCAAAAAAAAAAAAGTCAAACGTAATATGTTACGAGAAAAATGTTAAGTAAAAACAGTAAGTAATCATATATTTAATGCCGGCAAGGGCTTATATCTTACATAGGGTAATACATTGAGCATAGGGCCACATACAACCATCAGTATGGAATCTTCTCTATAACATCAACTTGAGGGTTACGAGAACGGGGTGATAAAGGCGTTATGCCATATGTAAGGAACTGATAAAACTCCAAAAATGCATGATTGTGTGTCAGATGATTGTATCATCCAACCAGGAACATTGTCAAGTCTCATAGTGATCATGTTTTGAGAGAAATGATAATCCATGGTTATAATTTTATTTATCATATTTAGATGTTTCATGTAACTTTCAGCTATGAGGTGTGTGATGCTCGGGGTGTAATTTTCAGTGTCGGCTTAGGACTAAAGTTAGCATTGCCCTCTGAAACGGGCTACGTAATCTTGTCGTGTGTGCAAGCACATACGCAGAATGCTTGTTGTCTCTATGTAGAAAATATCGTGTTTATATTCTCTTTAGAGACTTATTTCCCTATAGTCCACCTGTAGTGGGTTCCGAGAGCACTTATACTTTTCAGGCCCAGCCTGGAGCCAGGCTTGTGAAAACTTGATCTAAGAGACTGTTGCTTGGAGTGTAACAAAATAACATTACAACCTAGCTGATCTGTACTTCCTGCAGGAACTTGGCCAATTGTCTCTTGAAAAATTTGACATGTGTCTAAGCAATATTTTGTACATTTGGAGGTAGGAGGTTGAAGGAGGGCCATGGACCTCTGATGTTCATGAAGTGTTCTCAGATTATGCCAATTGTACCTCTATTCTTCACTGGGCCTATTCTGCACTTTCTACCTATCTTCTCCAGTAAGTTTTACTTTATTGTGCATATTTTGGACGTGCCATTTTTGTATATGAATTAATTATGTGATATCCCTCTTTTTCACCTTATCAGTGCAAATCAATTTACATTTCATGTGTTTTGAGACAGTCCAAGAAATTCAGATGCCTTACTGTGACTGTATGCCTTATGTACTCTGAAATCTTATTTCAGAAATCTCTCTTGTTTTGAAAGGGGAAGTGACTACCGATCAGTACTGTCACATATCCCTATACCTCACACCTCCCTTCACACCCATGTACAGCATTACCATGAAGGGAATTCTATCTTGTTTGTAGTCTCTGTGAAGGGACTTCCATTGTGTTTGTATAGAGCATCCTCACTCTCCTGTTTCTTTTATTTCCTCTTTGTCAGTGTACTGATCAACATATTGATCAATGATGAATACATTTGTTATTATTTGTTCTCAAGTGAATTTGATTTAATGTGTTTACACACACAACTCAAGTAGACCGACATGAGCTGTATCGTCATTATTTCGGAGACTAATAATAATTTAATAATAATTTATTATTTTCTGTCATAAGACTGATAGTGCTCATGTCAATCCACTAGAGTTTGTGTGTGTGTGTGTGTAATTACCCAAGTATAATTACCTAAGTGTAGTTACAGGATGAGAGCTACGCTCGTGGTGTCCCGTCTTCCCAGCACTCTTTGTCATATAACGCTTTGAAACCACTGACGGTCTTGGCCTCCACCACCTTCTCACCTAACTTGTTCCAGCCGTCTACCACTCTGTTTGCGAAAGTGGATTTTCTTATATTTCTTTGGCATCTGTGTTTAGCTAGTTTAAATCTATGACCTCTTATTCTTAAAGTTCCAGGTCTCAGGAAATCTTCCCTATCGATTTTATCAATTCCTGTTACTATTTTGTATGTAGTGATCATATCACCTCTTTTTCTTCTGCCTTCTAGTTTTGGCATATTTAATGCCTCTAACCTCTCCTTGTAGCTCTTGCTCTTCAGTTCTGGGAGCCACTTAGTAGCATGTTTTTGCACCTTTTCCAGTTTGTTGCTGTGCTTCTTAAGATATGGGCACCACACAACACATATTCTAGCTTTGGCCTAACAAAAGTCATGAACAATTTCTTTAGTATATCGCCATCATGTATTTAAAAGCAATTCTGAAGTTAGAAAGCGTGGCATAGGCTCCTCGCACAATATTCTTTATGTGGTTCTCAGGTGATAGTTTTCTATCTAGAACCACCCCTAGATCTCTTTCTTTATCAGAATTCTTTAAAGATTTCTCACATAATATATAAGTTGTGTGAGGTCTATGTTCTCCTATTCCACATTCCATAACATGGCATTTATTAACATTAAATTCCATTTGCCAAGTGGTGCTCCATATACTTATTTTGTCCAGGTCATCTTGAAGGGCTTGATAATCATCTAAGTTTCTTATCCTTCCTATTATCTTAGCATCATCAGCAAACATGTTCATATAATTCTGTATACCATCTGGTAGATCATTTATGTAGACAATAAACATCACTGGTGCAAGAACTGAACCCTGTGGTACTCCACTTGTGACATTTCTCCAGTCCGATACATTGCCTCTGATCACAGCCCTCATTTTTCTATCAGTCAGAAAATTTTTCATCCATGTTAGAAGCTTACCTGTCACTCCTCCAATATTTTCCAGTTTCCAGAACAACCTCTTACGTGGAACTCTGTCGAAACCCTTTTTTAGGTCCAGATAGATGCAGTCAACCCAACCATCTCTTTCCTGTAATATCTCTGTTGCTCGATCATAGAAACTGAATAAATTCGATACACAGGATCTTCCAGATCAAAAACCATACTGTCTGTCTGATATTATATAATTTCTCTCCAGGTGTTCTACCCATTTAGTTTTAATTATTTTTTCTAATATTTTGACTATTACACTTGTCAATGATACCGGTCTATAATTAAGGGGGTCTTCCTTGCTTCCACTTTTGTAGATTGGAACTATGTTAGCCTTTTTCCACACATCAGCTACGACTCCTGTAAACAGGGATGCCTGAAAAATCAGTTGAAGTGTTGAGGTGTACAGGTTCCCGAGCCTAAAGGGCTCTATCATATCTACACTTGAAACTGTGTATGGAGTCAGCCTCCACCACATCACTACTTAATGAATTCCATTTGTCAACCACTCTGACACTAAAAAAGTACTTTCTAATATCTCTGCGACTCATTTGGGCACTCAGTTTCCACCTGTGTCCCCTAGTGCGTGTGCCCCTTGTGTTAAATAGACTGTCTTCATCTACCCTATCAATTCCCTTGAGAATCTTGAATGTGGTGATCATGTCCCCCCTAACTCTTCTGTGTGTGTGTGTGTGTGTGTGTGTGTGTGTGTGTGTACTCACCTAATTGTACTCATCTAATTGTGCTTGTGGGGTTGAGCTTTGTTTCTTTGGTCCCACCTCTCAACTGTCACTCAATTGGTGCACAGATTCCTGAGCCTACTGGGCTCTATCATATCTACATTTGAAACTGTGTATGGAGTCAGCCTCCACCACATCACTTCCTAGTGCATTCCATTTATTAACTACTCTGACACTGAAAAAATTCTTTCTAACATCTCTGTGACTCATCTGGGTACTAAGTTTCTACCTGTGTCTCCTTGTTCGTGTCCCACCCGTGCTGAAGAGTTTGTCTTTGTCCACCCTGTTAATTCCCCCTGAGAATTTTGTAGGTGGTTATCATGTCTCCCCTTACTCTTCTGTTTTCCAGGGATGTGAGGTTCAGCTCCTTTAGCCTTTCCTCGGGCTGTGGTGGGTATGTGGGCCTGCGGGCCGCTCCAAGCAAGAGCCTGGTGGACCAAACTCTCACAAGTCAAGTCTGGCCCCGGGCCGGGCTTGGGAGTAGAACTCCCAGAACCCCATCAACCAGGTATCAACCAGGTATCAACCAGCTTATTCCTCTCAGTTCCGGGACGAGCCTGGTGGCATACCGCTGAATCTTCTCTAACTTTGTCTTGTGTTTAACTAGGTATGGACTCCAGGCTGGAGCTGCATACTCCAGGATTGGTCTTACATAAGTTGTATACAGGGTCCTGAATGATTCCTTACACAAGTTTCTAAAGGCAGTTCTTATGTTGGCCAGTCTAGCATATGCTGCTGATGATATTCTTTTGATGTGGGCCTCTGGGTACAGGTTCGGTGTGATATCAACCCCCAGATCTTTCTCTCTGTTTGACTCTTGCAGGATTTCACCTCCCAGATGATACCCTGTGTTCAGCCTCCTGCTCCCTTCACCTAATTTCATTACCTTACACTTTCCTGAGTTGATCTTTAGCAGCCATTTTCTAGACCATTCCTCCAGTTTGTCCAGGTCATCCTGTAGTCTCTGTCTATCTTCATCCATCTTGATTCTTCTCATAATTTTTGCATCATCAGCAAACATTGAGAGGAATGAGACTATACCCTCCGGAAGATCGTTTACATATATTAGAAACAGGATGGGTCCAAGTACTGAGCCCTGTGGGACTCTGCTGGTGACATCTCGCCACTCTGATGTCTCCCCCCCCCCTCACTGTTACTCGCTGTTTCCTGTTGCTTAAGTATTCCCTTATCCACTGGAGCACCTTCCCTTTTACTCCTGCCTGTTGCTCCAACTTTTTTAACAGCCTTTTATGGGGTACTGTATCAAAGGCTTTTTGGCAGTCCAGGAAAATGCAGTTGGCCCACCCTTCTCTTTCCTGCCTAATTTTTGTTGCCTGGTCATAGAATTCTATTAAACCTGTGAGGCACAATTTACCATCCCTGAACCCATGTTGGTGGTGCGTTACAAAGTTATTTCCCTCCAGGTGCTCTACGAGCCTTTTCCTCATGATCTTCGCCATCACCTTGCTTGGTATACAAGTTAGGGAAACTGGCCTGTAGCTCAGTGCCTCTTGCCTGTCACCCTTCTTGTATATTGGGACTACGTTAGCCGTCTTCCAACTTTCTGGTAAGTCTCCTGTTTCCAGTGACCTGTTATACACCGGGTGTGTGTGTGTGTACTCACCTAGTTGTGCTTGCGGGGGTTGAGCTCTGGCTCTTTGGTCCCGCCTCTCAACTGTCAATCAACTGGTGTACCGATTCCTGAGCCTACGGGGCTCTATCATATCTACATTTGAAACTGTGTATGGAGTCAACCTCCACCACATCACTGCTTAATGCATTCCATCTATTAACTACTCTGACACTGAAAAAGTTCTTTCGAATGTCCCTGTGGCTCATTTGGGTACTCACTTTCCACCTGTGTCCCCTTGTTCGCTTACCACCCGTGTTAAACAGTTTATCTTTATCTACCGTGTCAATTCCTCTGAGAATTTTATAGGTTGTGATCATGTCTTTCCTAACTCTTCTGTCTTCCAGTGTCGTGAGGTGCATTTCTTGCGGCTTTTCCTCGTAACTTATGCATCTTAGTTCTGGGACTAGCTTAGTGACATTAGGGGGGGGGGGGAAGAGCCCCTATGGCTCCCCGGCGCTATCCATGGCTGATATGGATACCCCCTAACTATTTTGCATCAGTCGATGTGGGTGGAGTTCTAGGCCTACCGGGGACCACGAGCCAGAACCTGGCCCCCCTCACAGAGGCACGGGGAGCAAGGGCCCATAGAAATGCACATGTGATTTGGAGCATTCTATATGCTCCAAATCGACTTGAGAATGGTCCAGGACGGACCGAAACGTCGTCGTCCCTTCAAATTCTAGTGTGTGGTCTGGTCAACATACTTCAGCCACGTTATTGTGACTCATCGCCTGCATTCTATATCTGCCATCGACTGGGACAGGCACCCAGAAAGGTAAGTGCCACAAAACAAACCCCTATTCTGGTTAACAACGAGAATCGTCAAACGAGTGGACAGAACTCCCCAAAAGGAAAACACGAGCAAACATGCATGACGTCACACGAGTCGCGCTGCATGTCTGCGCAGCTTCCCCCTCCCCGGGAGGGGGAAGGGGGAGCCCCACACCCTCGCCCCACTGCCCGGCTGATGGCTGATGGGATCGTGCATAGTCATGTGGCTCCAGTCTTCTCTCAGTGCTGTTCCTTGTTTTTCAGTGCTGCTCTTACGGTGGTCGTGTGAGCTGGGAGTATTATTCTCAGGTACTCGGGCTGCATGTGCCCAAGCCCCAAGGGCAGTACTTACCCGGCACCTAGGGAAGGCAGTCCTAGGTGCATGCAGCCCGAGTACCATGGAATATCATTCCTGCAGGCTCACACACCCCTTGGAGAGACAGCCCACGCCACCAGACACAGGACTGAGACAAAAGAATTCTAGAGCCAGAGGCACGTGACGATACCAGATCCATCAGCCAAGAACTGATGTTGAACTGATTCACAGTCTCCGTGGTGTAGTGGTATGACACTCGCCTGGCGTTCCGCGAGCGCTATGTCATGGGTTCGTATCCTGGCCGGGGAGGATTTACTGGGCGCAATTCCTTAACTGTAGCCTCTGTTTAACGCAACAGTAAAATGTGTACTTGGATGAAAAAACGATTCTTCGCGGCAGGGGATCGTATTCCAGGGACCTGCCCGAAACGCTACGCGTACTAGTGGCTGTACATGAATGTAACAACTCTTGTATATATCTTAAAAAAAAAAAAAAAAAAAAAAAAAAAAAAAAAACTAGTGTTGGGTGGCCGCGCGAGAGGTCTGGGGCTCCCCCCCCCCCCGCTCCCAGGGAGAGGGGGGGGGGGTGTTGTGCAGACGGCGGCGCGGCAACATGATGACGTCATGTTCGTTTGCCTATTTTCGTTTGGGGAGTTCTGTCCACTTGTTCGGCTTTCGGTAGCAATAGTTTTACCAGAATAGGGGTTTGTTTTGGGGCGCCTACCTTTCTGGGTGCCTGTCCTGGTCGATGGTAGACGTAGAATGCTTCCAACCACAGGGGTGGGGGGGTTCTATAGGCCATTGCTCCTCGTGCCTCTCTGAGGGGGCCATGTTCTGGCTCGTGGTCCCCGGTAGGCAAGAACTCCTAGCACTTTGACTGATGCCAGAAAGTTATACATATCCTTTCAGCCTGGATAGCTCCGGGAAGCCTCCGGGAGTCGCCCAGAAAATGGCGTTTCATGACATTCAACGCTGGTTTTTTGTTTTCTGAACACAAGTTCTTATTATATATCACGTCATTGGTTCCAAGAAAGTCAGTGATAAAGTTCAACCTAAGAAAATACAGTATTTGTGAGGATAACAGAGGAAAAACAAGAGATCGTTCAGAGTGAGACAATGTGATGTCTCACTAGAGACAAGTGTTAAAACGTAGGGTAAAACAAGTGTCTATAGACTGGTTCTTAGTAAGACAAGCAAGCAGTGAGCCACAATCAGGTCCTAGTGGTATGCCTGCAACATGTAAGATTACCACAGAAATGTTATCACTGCTGTTATAATGGAAGGAGACTCCCCCTTCCAAACACTAGCACTGCCCCCCACCCATTTCCTCACTGCCTTCCATACACCGATAAGAGTCCCCAATAAAGGTAAGGTACCTATGAGTTGAGGGGTAGAAATAGCCTAAGCTACTCTATCCCTTTGAGATGTATTTATTGCTTATCTCAATAAACATACTTGAACTTGGTACCTATGAGTATTAGTGTGTATAAAATGTAATCTTTTAGTTAATCTGTTCCATACCCTCAAAAATATTAATTCAATTTACATTACTTCTTATGGGAAAATTAGTTTTGATTTTCGAGTCGTCTCTGGGAACGGATTAAATTTGAAAACTGAGGTGCCACTATTATTTTTTGGGGTGTGGGAACGGTATAATTGAATTTCAGTTACTTCTTATGGAAAATGTTGTTTCCATATTAGTCAGAAACAAAGTACTGAATGTAGAGATTCCATTGTATTTTAATTTAGTTTTTTTCCACAATTTTTTTCAGTCGACTGAATTTAACAATTTTTTTGTACTGCCTAATAATTATTATATATAAATAAAAATGTCAAACTTACAAATGGGCGTGCAGCACAAGTATAAATGTAACTATTAAAAACACATAATTGGTTTAGCTATGTGACAAATTGTACTGAAATTACTTTCATGCTAGCAATGTAAACTGAGCATGACTCGTAGCAGGATTACCTATACACAGTACTGTATACTTAAGATATAATTATGTACTTTCAGATTTATGAGGTTTCATAATACTGATACAGTATTTGGCATTATATGTTTTTGCTACGCCGATTGTTTGAAATTAATACGAATGTAAGGAATGTGTTGATATTAAGTACCGGTAATCTTAACTCGAGTGTAGAGGTCACAATGGTTCCTATTAGTCATGCAATTGCGTCAATAAAACCCATAAGTATTCCTGAAGATTATACTCCATTTCCAAGTCAAGTATTATACATTCCATCCTAAATTTATCATTGTTCTGATGTTATCTTACAAGAAATTCAGAAAGTAGTCTACAAGATACTGGAAGAAAGCCCGATACTGTAATTATCCGATTATACAAATATTAAGTAGATACGTGATATTTAAACATTGGCATTGAGAAGTGTCAAAACACTGTAGCTGCAGGGAAGGCAACTTGGGGAAAGCTTAAGATTCTCACTAAATCATTCATTCATGTTATGAAAGATGATCAGTGGCATGCCGTAGCGACGTTTCCTGTAGAATTGTTATGCAACGTGAAGGCGAGATGCATTCTCTGACGTGCCCAGTATATGGCAGACTGTAGTTTACCGAGTACCAAAAAACTTTGTTGAAAAAGACAGTAGACACCACTGGATAATGCGAAAATATGTTCATATGTATCTAATTACTGTAGAGTTACATAAATGACCTCAACTACAGGAATATTAAATATCTAGACTAATCACCACAACATACAAATTAGAAGTCAACACAGTAGTTTTTTACTGATTTCTAATCTCTCATCGTATCAATTCCACAGTCTTAGATAAGTGGGAAGATAAGTTGTGTGCGCACCAGTATAAAAGGCAGAGAAATGTTGCCACATTCACATACAGGAGAATGTAAAGTGTGCATAACAGCAATTAATTATTAAAGGAGAGGTGAATTCCTATATCATTACAGACTTACGCTATTTTCTTCCTTAAATTGTGTCATTTGAGTGTCTTGACAATATAGCATAATGGTATATTGTGTCATTGAGGTGTATGTGTTATGATTCTTGTGAAACATGAGTACTGAGATGGATTAGTTTATTATTGTCACTCCAGCATGTTGTGGGTGTCAGTGCCTGATTGTAATGGTGGCCATCCTCTGGGCATTGGTATAATTGTTGGTTTTCCGCGCTGGCAGCCGCAGCATCCTGGCAAAGGCTCTTCGAAAGTTATGGTTGCAAAGTGGATAGAGAACAGGATTTAGGGCTGAGTTAAGGTAGCCCAACCAGATGGTGGCAGTGTGGGCATGGGCAGGTACACATGTGTCACACAGTGCCATGATGGGGAAGAGAGTAAAGTATGGCACCCAGCAGGCCATGAAAGCCCCTACGATCACCCCCAATTGCCGCGCTGCTTTTCGCTCCTTTGCCAAGTTGACGCCCTCAACACGTCGTCCACCTCCTCCACTGTTGGTATGTGCTACAATTCGCTTCTTTTTTGTGCCATTAGTGGCTGTGGTGGCGATGGAGGGCGTTAGGCTGGCATTGTTGGTCTCCTGCATCTGGCCCACATTGTTGAGACGCCAGCTGCTGCCCCATTTCTGCTCCCGCACTCTATGTGGCGAGGGTGTTAAGGGATTCCAAAAAGAGTGTGGTCTTGTGCTACTTTGATAACAGTGAATGTGGTTTTGATGAGGCCCAAGCCGAGTTGTTGCAGCCTTCCGTTGTTGTTGACTTTGTTGATGTGATAACTGCTGCTGTTGCTGTGTTTGCTGGTGATTATAATGGTGGTGGTGAGTTGGTGAGGTCTGACCAGAGTCGTCAGGAAGGTATTCCACACTCACCATCACCCCAGAGTAGTGGGAGCAGTCGTGTCTCCCTGGGGATACCACAGTCAAGCTGTGGAACTGGCTACATTCATTGGAAGCTGTAATGACAGGGAGGTCATGTTGAGATGTGTCTGTGTTGCAGTGTTGGTGCGGAGGACGGGGTAGTTTATCCGCCTCGCTGCACGAGTCTGTAAGCATGTCAGGGCTGGTGAAGGGCACCCGGCCCAGCACCTGGCGTGACTGCACCTCCCGGAATATACGGCAGTATAGGTACAGCATGAGAGCTGTTGGCAAGTAAAAGTTGAGTGCTGCAGTGACGGCCTTGAAGGCAGCGCTGCTGGAGAACTCGGTCTCACAGACGTGCGGCGGGTGGTGCCTCACGCCGCCCAGTGCCAGGTGGTGCCACGCGAGTACAGGCACCAGCCACGCCGTTGCTGCTGTCCATGAGGCACCAATCATGACCCAGGCCCTCCGTCGCGTGCGTCTCCGAAGGTAACGAAGCGGTGCTGTGATAGACCAGTAGCGGTCCAAGGACAAGATCACCAGGTTAAAGATGGACGCCGTGGACGCTGTATAATCTGCTGCCAGCCAAAACTGGCACACTACCAGACCCAGTCGCCACTCTCCTGTAGAGAAGACAAAAGGCATCAACAATAATGCACCAACACCCATCATTAACTCATGTTAATGAGTTACTAGTACAAATTAGCTTTATAATTGAAGACCTCCTAAGATTGAAAACATGTACAAATTCCCCAACATGTTATTTTCTGTGCATTTGAAGGATATGTAGAAGTCATTCTTACAGGGTCATCTTAAGAATATAAGGTGGGGGGATAGTCTTCACTTCAAACTTTTGGCAGTTGTGTAAGTTTATAAAAAGAAGCTTCCTATTGAAATTGAGTCTCTCCTCGTGACCATTGAGGAAACTAATATATAATTTGCTAAAATTATTTAAACTTCACAAAATATACTACCATCCATTTTGTAGTATATGAGAAATGTACGAACCGAAGCAACCCACCTAACCTATCGAGGCTGACGCGTAGAAAACGTCAATATTACGGTGCTTTAATTTGTACTAATGCGTCGTATTTTTAACAGATTGGTCAATTGCGTAAACAAATGCGACGCACGAGGCGAGAGGACTTACCCATCATCGCGTAGGCCGCGCTGACTGGCATGACGATAACTCCCACGGTCAGGTCTGCCGCCGCCAGACTCATGATGAATAGGTTGGACACCTGTGGACACAAACACCTGTTATGTCCGCACCTGTGGACACGAACGCCTGTTATGTCCGCACCTGTGGACATAAACGCCTGTTATGTCCGCACCTGTGGAAACAAACACCTGTTATGTCCGCACCTGTGGACACAAACACCTGTTATGTCCGCACCTGTGGACACAAACACCTGTTATGTCCGCACCTGTGGATACAAACACCTGTTATGTCCGCACCTGTGGAAACAAACACCTGTTATGTCCGCACCTGTGGACACAAACACCTGTTATGTCCGCACCTGTGGACACAAACACCTGATAAGTCTACACCTGTTATGTCCGCACCTGTGGACACAAACACCTGTTATGTCCGCACCTGTGGAAACAAACACCTGTTATGTCCGCACCTGTGGACACAAACACCTGTTATGTCCGCACCTGTGGACACAAACACCTGTTATGTCCGCACCTGTGGAAACAACACCTGTTATGTCCGCACCTGTGGACACAAACACCTGTTATGTCCGCACCTGTGGACACAAACACCTGTTATGTCCGCACCTGTGGACACAAACACCTGTTATGTCCGCACCTGTGGACACAAACACCTGTTATGTCCGCACCTGTGGACACAAACACCTGTTATGTCCGCACCTGTGGACACAAACACCTGTTATGTCCGCACCTGTGGACACAAACGCCTATCGAGTCCGGGAGGTTTGACAACACCTGCTATAGTTTCCACCTCATCCATCGGAACCAAATAGGCCTACAAAAAATACATATATACAATATATTTAGGGATTAGCCTATAAATTCGTCGTGTTTTTTGCGTGTATATATATATATATATATATAGGGTTTCCGGGAAGCCCTGTCCTCAGGTCTCGAAGGTTCCTTTGTATACTTCTGTACTCCTTTTGTGCTCTGTTTTGTGGGTAGTGAATACTTTTGTGCTCTGTTTTGTGGGTAGTGAATACTTTTGTGCTCTGTTTTGTGGGTAGTGAATACTTTTGTGCTCTGTTTTGTGGGTAGTGAATACTTTTGTGCTCTGTTTTGTGGGTAGTGAATACTTTTGTGTGTGTTTCTTCCTCCCTCAGCGCTAAGTTGTGTGGTCAACGTGACGGCCTACTGCCCTTGCTGTTACTGCTGTCTGGAAGGAGGTGTTACGGCTTCGTTGGGCGAGTTGATCAACCGTGACGCGCTGTGGTAACGGGATTGATTGATTGATAAAGATTAAGCCACCCAAGAGGTGGCACGGGCATGAATAGCCCGTAAGTGGTAATTTTTTTTTTCTCAGTATTCTGAGGTTGCATTTAACCATCAAGCTGTTATCGCGAGGTAACGGGACCTCACTATCTCACCTCATAGTTCCTCACCCGACTTTACCTCACCCTTCCTCACTGACTGACCGCACCTCACACTGCCCGGGAATCTTACCCGGGATCAATACTCCATATCGAACCCAGGGACGACCTAACTGTTCCAATTCACTGTTGCATAGATGCAGGTGTGACGACACGTGTTTGAGCAGGTTTAAGGACAGGTGTGAGGAGGCAGGAGGGAAAGGGAACTATTGCCAAGGATACTATCGAGGGACAGGTGTCCGTGAGGGACAGTTGGGAAGCAAGACGCATGCACAACCTGGAAGTCAGGATAGTCAACAAGGATATGCACTACTGTAAGAGGGACAATGCAATTTGGACAATAAGGAGCAGGGCAGCGCTCCATTAAGTGCCCGTGAGTTAAACGGGTATGGCCAATACGTAACCTTGCCAGAGCCAATTCCCACCGCCGGTTACGGTGGTAGGAGGAAGGCCACGGGGACACACTACTCTTAAGAGCACGCAGCTTGCTACCAGTAACAAGACCAGCGATCCTGCCAACGGGCAAGGATCGAGGAATGAATAACAGGGTAGAAGTATAAGGAAACACCTTTGTGGGAAATGGGACAAGTGCAGATAGCCCCCATCACGGCAGCATCCACACACTCATTTAAGGAAACACCAATATGGCTGGGAATCCAGCAAAACTCGACTGTGTTAAATCTGCCCGAGATAAGAAACAACCAATATTGAATGTCAACGAACACAGGATGAACAGGATTAACAAGACTCCAGAGCCATGAGGGCGCTGCAAGAGTCAACTACAAAAACAAAGGAAGAATTACAGCGAGAAAGCAGTTGACGAAGAGCAAACAAAATTGCATAAAGTTCAGCTGTGAAGATGCTAGTCTCTGGAGGCAGGAGACACATGTAGGTGCAGTCAGGAAACACAAGTATGCCTACACCGTCAGCAGACTTTAACCCATCAGTGAAGATGGAGATGGATCTGGAGTGGGAAGAAAAGTGAGTAAGGAAAAGGCGTTTCAGCACTTTAGGAGGGTAAAAGTCTTTGTCATGCGGGTCAAGATTCAACAAAACTTAGGAAGAGGGACCCTCCAAGGAGGCAAGGACTGAACGACTTGAGGAGAAACATCGGTAACATGAACTGAGAGAGAACCTTGCAAGCGAGACAACTATATAGAAAGGAGGTGGTGAAAGGGAACAGGGCCCACAGGAGGGGTAATGGTCAAAGTACGACATAAGCGAGAGTGAGGGTGTTGTAGGGACCGCGCAAAGTAGCGAAGACAGTAGCGAGCACGGCGATCCTGTAGAGACAGGATGCCGGTCTCAACATACAAGCTCTGGGTAGGGGTCGAACGAAAGGCACCAGAGCTAAGACGGAGCCCAGTATGGTGAAGAGCATCAAGACGATGAAGGGTGGAGGGAGAGGCAGACGAGTAAGCAGGACAGCCATAATCGAGTTTAGACAGCACGAGAGAGGAATGTAAAGAGAGGAGCGTGCGCCTATCAGCTCCCCAGGAAGTATGGGACAAGACCTTAAGTAAGTTAAGGGCCTTAGAGCATTCAACTCGGAGGTAGGAGATATGGGGTGACCAGGACAAGCGAGTGTCAAAGATTAACCCCAGAAGTTTAGCAGAATCCTTATACAAAAGAGGATTACCATAAAGCGACAGAGGGGGTCGAAGAACGACCTGCTTCCGAGTAAAGGTCATAGCACAAGTCTTAGCCGGAGAGAACTTGAAGCCATGATTGGTGGCCCAGGACGACACGGCATCAATCCCAAGTTGAAGCCACCGTTGGAGGAAAGGCGAGTCATCACCTTGACAGCAGAGGGTAAGATCGTCAACATAAAGAGTGGAGATAATGTCAGAGGGAAGGGAGGAAAGAAGACCATTGAGGGCAACCAGGAAAAGAGTAGTGCTCAGAACACTACTTTGGGGCAAACGTTTGTATTGCCCAAAAGAGGCAGAGAGAGCGGTACCAAGCCGCACTCGAAAGGAACGACAAGAGAGGAATCTCTGGAGGAAGAGAGGGAGATTACCACGAAGGCCAAAAGAACGGAGTTGGGACAGAATATGGTATCGCCAGGTGGTGTCATACGCCTTTTCCAGGTCAAAAAAGGACAGCAACAACGGAGGTCTTCGCAGCAAAGGCAGTACGAATATAGACCTCCAAGTTCACGAGGACATCAGTCGTGCTGCGACACTTGCGAAAGCCAAATTGAGAAGGGGAGAGGTGATAGCATTCCAAGAACCACATCAGACGGACATTGACCATACGCTCAAAGAGTTTGCAGACGCAACTCGTGAGAGCAATGGGGCAGAAGTCTTTAGGGGATGACCCTAGAGAACTAGGTTTCCGAATAGGAAGAACAATCACCTCAAGCCAGTCCTCAGGGACTGACGACGACTCCCAGACACGGTTATAAACACTCAGTAAATACTGAAACGTGCATGGAGGGAGATGGCGAAGCATCTCATAATGAATATCATCCGAGCCCGCCGCCGTAGACCCGCAGAGGGCCAGGGCAGACTGGAGTTCTGAGAGAGAGAAAGGATCGTTATAGGGAAGCTGAAGAGAAGTGCAAAAATCTAAGGGAGAAGATTCAAGAAGGGGCTTACGAGTAAGGAAAGGAGGAGGAAGATGAGAACCGGAGCTAACAGTCGAAAAGTGAGAACCCAGTTCGGTCGCGACCGACACCGGATCCGCCACAATAGAACCACGGAGGTGAAGGACTGGCGAGACATCTGGAACAAACTTACCCGCTATCTTGCGGATTTTCTTCCAGATCAGGGGCAGAGGAGTGTCAGACGTAATGGTGGAAACGAAAGATCTCCAACCCTCACGTTTAGCCATACGGATGGCCCTACGGGCCACCGCACTTGCCTTCCGAAACAAAATAAAAGAATCGGGCGTCCTACGGCGACGGTGTTTCTTCCAGGCTGCACGCTTACAGCGGACAGCCCGAGCACAGTCTGCATTCCACCAGGGAACGCACTTCCGCGCGCCCCTGGAGGTAGAGCGAGGAACAGAGCAGAGGGCAGCATCAAAAACAGTGTCATGAAAGAGGAGGAGGGCTCGGGGGAGAGGCAGATCAGAGAGGTCGGAAAGAGTAGCACGCAAGGTGAAGAGGTTCCAGTCAGCCCTGGCAAACTGCCACCTAGGGAAGGAGAGAGGAGGGGGGGCGAGAAAAGGTGACAAGGATGGGGAAATGGTCACTGTTATGTAGGTCATCAAGAACCCACCAGGTAAAGTCCAAATAAAGAGAAGACGAGCAGAGAGAAAGATCAAGACAGGAAAGGGTGCGAGTGCGGGAGTCAACATGAGTGGGCTCACCAGAATTCAGAAAAGACAGAGAAGAAGAGAGGACAAAAGGTTCAAGAAGGCGGCCCCGGGTGTTTGTCAGAACATCACCCCAGAGGGTATGCCGACAGTTAAAATCACCCAAAAGGAGCACAGGCTCTGGTAAGGAGTCCAACAGGTGTTTAAGATCAGGAAGAGAAAGTGGGACATTCGGGGGGAGATAAATGGAACAGACTGTATACCATTTACTCACAAAGATATGGGCCGCAGAACACTGAATGGGCGACTGAAAAAGTAGGGGGACGAAGGGAATATCAAGACGGATCAAGAGAGCAGTAGAGGCATGGGCCCCAGCAAGAGCTGGAGGGGAA